TACCAATATGATCAAGTTGCGAAAACAAGGTCAAACAACCTCAAAAGATTCAATAGATGATTAAATAAAATAGATGCAGCAAAAGCTACTTCAAATTTTTTAAAGTATTACAAAGAAGATTTATGACAAAAGTTATAATGCGAACGCGACAAGGATTCTAAAAAAATGGCTAATTAATTTGAGTTTTTCTGGAAAAAATCCACAAATACATTTGAGTATATAATTTACTTACCTGTAGCAAAGCCGGCCATCAGGAGATAGTGCAATTGCGTAACAGGCAGGGGCCTCGAAATTCAACTCTGTTTTTCGCCGTCCAGCACCATTTAGGTCCCATACTGTCAGAGCGTTTGATTCACCACCAATTACAAGGCCTGTAGCATTCTGTGTATGCAAAGGATGAAGATGAACAAGGTTAATTGGATAAGAATGAGATACACTTCTTTTGCCATCTGATGCAATGGGTGTAAGACAAGGAATCGTCCAAGAATTCATATATTACATACAGGTAAAGTGTTGAAGTATGGATTTTTAAGTACAATTTAAGCGAATGCATTTCATCCTCCTATGTGCTGTAAAAATAAAAAAATAGCTATGATAGCCATGAATGTGAGTGCCGTCATTGTAGAATCACTTGTGCGATTGTGAAACAATGGCCGTAAAAAATATGGTCTTTAACTTAAATAAATTGTTCTTGTTGAGGAAATAAAAAACTGGACTCAAAAAACAAAGAGAATATTTTGAAAATTAAGGATACATTTCCGAAGCTACTTTACCACAAAGATAAATGTAAATAGACTGAAATTTTAGATGAAAATAGTTCATACTTTGGTCTTGAAATAAAGTTTGGCCTGACTAATCAAACCAACCGGATGAAAAATGGAAATATATTGGGGGTTTGAAAAACCTTTTGCATTAAATTGATGTTTGTGTACCCGTTGTTTCAATGTTTTGTTATATCTCAAAATTGCTAATAAAAAATAAACAGGATATTAACAGACAAGCTTTTCTATGATGATTTCTGGCTTCGATGTATCAAATGACAATCAAGAATTATAAAAAATCGATACATATGTTTAGCACTTGGATACATTCTCAGGTTACCTTGTAATCTGAAAGAGGAAGAGTGTAGTGCAGCGAAGATCACAGCAAAACGTCTGACTAATGCGGATCAATTCAATAAAAAGTAAGAATCAAAGATAATAAATAATTGTATCAATCTCAGTTCAGTTTACCGGGAGGAGTTTAATTGATCTGACGTAGCTATCGCTACGAAGACAGTCGAATATGGCAATCGGCGATATCTCCCTCGATCCAATCCCCGCGCCAGACCCGATTGCCACCTGGCTAACAGCTGCCAGATCCCATAATTTGACACAGCCTCGACCTCCCGTATATGCGAAATGAGGCACCCCACCGGGCAAAGATTTCGCTGTCCAGGGAGGATAAAAGAGAGCAAAGAAGATATAAATGGATAGGTGTAAAAAAATTAAATTCTAAAATCAATTTGGAAAGTACATATACGTTTGACGAGAAGCCACTGA